AATATTTTTTATGCCATTTTAGACATATATTACAACATATACAGATAATATTGTTCGACAAAAAAATGGAAAGGTTCTAAAATTAATATTATTTTAAAAATATTTTATTTGAAAATATCTCACAAAAAAATAATATATATTAATACATATATTTGACATTAAATACAGATTTAGCATTTGAAGATTAATATCATTGCACGTTCCTATTAAACGTAGTCCGCTAATTAAAATTTCACTAATCTCAGTAATGATAAAATACTTTCGCGCGCGCCGTTTGTATGATATAAATTTCTGTTACACATCTACAAAGATCTGTTCCAATGGGATGCTCTGCAATCGAGACCGCAAGAGATCGATTGCGATTGCATGGATATCGCTTGATGCTCCTTCTGCATACAAGCTCGGTCATCGGCAGTCGCGAGTCCGTCGCAGTGAGCGTGTTGCAGGTGAACAGCTGCAAAGGTGTACGTGCATCTTATCTGTAGACACACCCCCGGAACACGATTCTGTGGTGGGGATGTCGAGATGCAGACGAGAGTGGGGAACTCCGAGTTCGACGGAGGAAGGATTTCAAAAGGACGGGAGATCGAGATAGATGTAGGATGAGAGAACGGATCTTCCGCGGCGCCAGGAAGAAGTATGGATATGAGCAGAAAATTTCTAAAATAAACGAGAGAAACAGAGAATCGATGATGGAGAAAAAATATTTTTTACTATGCAGTCAACAAACATAAAACAGGACTTGCAAAGAAAAAAGAAGTCGTTACAAATTTCTGAGAGAGAAATTTCTATCAGTGATTCCGGTGTCAACAACATCACAAAACAAACGCGTTAAGGTACGATAAAGATAAACATACCGCACGGCGATATCGAAAACAGCAGGTGAGACCATGATCGGAAAGAAAACAACGAAGAAGGAATTTAACAAGACGAACGCGAGCGCGAGGAAGAGACGACGCCTTATCCGGAGCGAGCAAGCTTCGAAATCAGGGGAGGATAAGAGGGAGATGCAGAGGACGACGAAGGTGGGTTCCGGCGAGGAGTCGACGAGAGGGTGAACCAGCAGTAGCAGCAGCAGCCAAATGAGGGACCAGAATCGGTAGACGCGAGACGCGATGATGTCGCGGTAGGTGTTGGTAGTGGTGGTGATGATGGTGGTGGTGATGCTGGAGTGGTGGTGGCGGCTGCCACGATACGGCGTGTAGTGGGGGTGATACCGACGGCGCGCTCGCGACGCGGTAGGGCGTCGTAGGGGCAGTAGATCGAGCGCCGCGACGTCACCGCGCTCGTCCTCGGCGGCGCGGATGACATTTCGCTTCTGCTCTCTCGCCGATCTCCGTAAGAGCGTACGGGAGGAGGGAGAGAGACTGCGAACGTGATCGTGTGATCTGAATTTGACTTGAAAACTCTTGAGATATCGACTACGATTTTCGGAGCACGCACATGTTCGACTCTGACAGTTGGTGCTAATCCGCGAGCGCGCGTTTGACTTTTCCTAAAAAAAAAAAGAAAAGAAAAAAAAGACCGGTGTTTGATTTTGTGATCGATGAGAAATTCTGATACCAGTGTTCAGAACGGTGTGCGTGACATAATAAACGGACGGATGGACGGACGCGGCGATCAGTGATCGGAAAACGGGACGAAACTTTAGATCGCTCTATTTACTTTGGACGATACTTATCGTAATGAGTTGCGTGGCACGTGTGTGATTTTCCGCACTCTAGTCAGAAGTACGCGCAGTTTAATTGTATCTAACGTCTCATGCTATACCAAATAGAACTTAGAGCAGATCGTAGGCGCATAAGTTGTTTCGATGTAAGAAAAATGATCACCCACACGTTAATCGTTAATATTCAGTAGCTAGAAATTAGGAAATCTGAACAGTAGAAACTGTTATATAAATAAGCGAACATTTCGTACATGTCTCTACATGTCTGTGATTTTAATCGTGAATGAAAGATTTTATGTCACATCGCGCGATCATCGATAATTATTGTATAAACACCGGTGCTCTCGTAGTGACGTAAAACTATTTAAAAGGACAAGGATAATCAAAGGACAGTTAATTTAGAAGCTTCTCGACACGCTTTTTAATCGCTATTAATTAATAAATACCAGAGAAAGAATTGACACACTAAGAGAATTTTTGTGAGAATTCGAGAACAACGCGATATGTCACGAATGGCGGCGGCTTGCGAGGTTCAAGAGAATTACTGAGGGCCCCAGAAGGGAATGGATTTTCAGAGCGCAATGGACACCTTCGTAGAGGCATGGATGGCTGCGAATACGAAGACGGATCAAGTACAGGTAATCCTTTAATGGAACATGAATAATTCGTTATCGATCATGCGTATAATCATTTTATTTTTTTTTTTTTCTAAAAAGACTACTTTTGAAAAGTTCAGCATGAAATTTTGAACAGAATATGTATAATAGTAAGAATTTAAAATATGTATAAATATAAAAATTTATATTTAAAAAAAATAATATTAATTAAATATATATAGAAACACAATTAAAAAAGAATAGTTATTTGTAAAATAATATAAAGGGTAAAAAATAAAATAGAATTGATTAATATATTTTATAATTTTCCAACGGCTTTTTGCAGATAAAGTTCTCAAATTATAACAGTAAGATTAAAGCCTAATTGAGGTAAATATCGTATTATGTAGGGCCAACTTATCCTTGCGCAATCGATTGTATTAATTTTATAACTTAATGAAAATGTGCCAAAAAATATCATAATAAAAATATATTTAATATATAAGAAAAATGTATTTGTTGCGAACGAACAGATGCCAGCACGATTAAAAATTATATTTCTATTAAAACATATAACTTTGATATGGTATATAAAATTTTGATAGGATGGTTTACGTTGTGGATTAAAGCCTGCCAATATCGTTTTCGGCATTCAGTCTGCCGAACTTATAAAAATAACGCAGCGTCTATATTCGGTGTCAACGAGCGCGAGGGGCGAGAAGCAACCCCTTTCTGACATTACACAGCCAATTGGCCACCCTACCGCTTCTTGCACCTCTCTCTCTCTCTCTCTCTCTCTCTCTTTCTCTCTAAACGCGCTTTCAGTCCGCTAATTCCTCGTCATCAATTTGGCACATTCTTTCGCATCTCAAAGCGGCCAGCCGTTTTACGTGTAATGCGCGATTATCCCGGTACCTAAAATAAGTAAACAAGGCGTCATTTCTACGTTGTATTTAAAAAATAATAAAGGAGACAAATTTTCAATTTATATTCAAAAAGAGATCTTTATATTATACATGATTTTTCTCTTATTTTAAATCTTGTTTTTCTCAACATATAAGTATATTGTTTTTGATTAATAAACGTAGGACTGATATTTATAAACATTAAAGTATACATTCACACAGTCTATTAGAGAGAGGCATTGAAAACAAACTCTATTTATGAAACGTATAATAGCCGTAGATACTCGCTTAGAGAAGGAAATAACGTTTGAATGTAGCAAACGAATATCATTCGAACTTGACTTTCCGCGTTTAAAAATCGCGAGCCAAATTCGGACGCGAATCCGACACGCTGTATACCTCGCTTCACGATCTCCCAACGAAAACCGGGGGCGACGAAGGGCGGGGGATAATCCTTGGTAAAGCCGCGGCTCGCGTGTGTGCTGTGGACGGACGGCGCGTACGTTTACACGTGTACGTATCGGGGGGTCACGGATTCTGACCACGATACGGATGTGCCCCTGCCTTCTTCCTGTGCCACGACCATGTTCATGTTCTGGCATTCAACGGAATAAGACCGCATGTCTCCATTGACCGATGGATCTCTCGATCCATGGTCGCCTTCGGCCGTCGATGGTTATCGAAAAATTACCGGTGAGGAATGGCACGAATAATTTGTAAATTTCACATTTATGTAAATCGTCGTAATAGTTAAATTAACATAGATCCATCGTAGATGAGACAAACGCCTCGTTTCGTTATTAATTCGACATTCTACTCATATTTTGATCATTGCGAAAAAATAACGAATTAGAAGACGTGTGCGTTGATAGATTGTAAGTTTATAGGATATCTAAAAAATGATAATATCAGAATATTATATGGCGTATATCATGTATGAATATTTCTCGCGCGCAGGTGAATTATTCTTATGTTATATATATTTCGTCGCGCGCGTGAACTAATTTATAAAGAATCATATGTTTTATTCATAATTATTATATTAATACAAGTATAAAAGATATATGAAATACATTTTTTTAAAGGGGAAGGCACAGACGCACACACACACACATCTATACGACTTGTACATACATACAAGTATACGCATTCTGAGAAATGCGTTATCCATAGGCGTATTAAAGAAAATAAGTCAGAGAAACCAAACATTACCCTATAATGCTGTTACTTCGAAATACGTAAGGCTTTGCTTGGTCATGATATTAACATAGAAAGACTCATCTTTGTAGTTTACTTTTCTAAAACACAAGGACAATACTCTCGGTTGTAATAACAGGATGTGGAAAAAAAATTTGAATATAATTTACTGAGGTCATTTAAATTATATCGACGAAACAAACTAATATGCATAAATAATAGCAATTGTCATAAGAATGTATAAAATGACGTGGGGATCCGAGCATAGTAGTAATCGTGTGTATAGCAACCGTAAAGATGTGGGTGTGGCATTCCAGAGTGTTAATTAAGTTTCACTATTTTATCTAGATCTCGCTAACACCCGGTAAGATTGATTATTTAATAAACATAATAGATCTTAAGCCAAATACGAGTTCGGAAAATTGAGGAAAAAAGAAACGTCCGAGCTTATGATCTAAAATTTTCACGCATCTCTCTTATATTCCGACACATGAAAATACGTCCTTGCAGTGCGTTGCACGCAGGCACTGCTGCACGCACGGGCGCCACGTGTGTACTCGAAAGTGCGTCGTCGTATACGTGTGCGTGTACGAGGATACGTTTGAAGCACGCATGGTCACGGTATTTGACCACCCCAGCTGCCGGAATGATTGTAATCCATCTATCCGGCCACCGAAGCCGATATATCAAACGCAGGTAGAGTGTATGCTCGCGGACTCCTCTCTCCGTAAGCCTTTTTATATTGCCTTTTTATGCCGCTGCCACGATCTTTTGTTTTCTCGGCGAATATTTTATATGAAGAAAAATATTAATTAGGATGTTAACAGGGAATCGCGTCGAATAATTTTATTACGTTATACAAAAATAAAACGCTCTCATTCTTATAACATAATGATTATCTTTTAAATCAAGATGAATATAATAACCACCCATACAGCACACAAAGATTGCATACATATTGTAGCAATCTTATAATGAATAATAGATATTTCTTTAAGAAAGATTCCTCAGGAATTGTTTGCGATGCATTACGTTTATCTTGAATCCTTGTGAAAAGCATTATTAATTTGTGTTTTTAGATATTAATATGAATAAGAACATGTCTCCCTTACCGTTATAAACTTGAAATGTATTTAGAAATTTTTTTTTTCTCGTGTTAATATTAATGAACCGTTTGCATATGTCACTCGAAATGGATCGTAATTTTGGAATGATACTCGTATTCTCGCTTGCTTTCTCTGGTAAATTCTCGAAATCAATGCTCATAACCGGTACAAGGTTGTATCTTTGCTGCTTTCTAATCTTTAGCCGTATCATACTTTGCACTTAGGAACGAGGTGTCTGACATCGCGGTCGGCAACAATTTACGTAACGCGATCGCAAACGCATCATCAATCCGCGGATTATCTATTGCGAAGAGGGAACCAATTATCGCCCGGGGATATCATTCCGTCTGATATTTTGATAAGTATGATTAGAATATTGCAGATTAATGTGAGTCGGGCCACATTTAATTTTGTTTCATACGATGATTGCCGAAAGATAGCAAAATTATCGCTCACAGTAAAATAGATAGTGGATCGTATTAAATTCTATCAAGTAAAAAGAGAGAAAAAAAGAGATTAACAAATTATTTTTAATATATAACATTGCATGTTATTATATCAATGGAGATTAGGAATCGGCGACCTTTTTCAGTGTTTCATGAAATTGTACAAGAAACAGCATGTCTCCATAATTGTGGTTTTTAACAATTACAAAAACTATTACTCTAATTACTCAATTTTTATAAAGTTTTATATAAAATTTAAAATAGCGCCTGACATTTTGTTTTCAAAATTTTAGAAAAATTTTAACTCTACAATTATATTCGGTTAACTATCAAATCATTTACGGCTAGTTATGAGAAACTCATAAAACGTCTCCATAAGAATCTCATCAGAATAAATGAAACGAATCCTTGCCTAATTTGAAGATTAAAATTTAAATTGTTGAATTTTCGATCATACAATACAAATAAATATGCTAAAGACTAATTACAGAGCTTTAGAAAAATTTCGAATCGACAGCCATCAGATCTACAAATCATTCAATTGTTTGCGATTAATTATTTTCGAAAAAGTACGGCTAAAACGAACGAATCTTGCGTCTTCAGAAACGAGCGGCGCGTTTTTTCATGACGCGAGCGCTCGCGGCTTTTAATGCGGCATTCGAAGAATTAATCAAGACGCAAGCGAGAGCGCTCCGTATAATTTACACGCATCGAACGTCGCCATGACGAGACGAAAGAGAATCGGATCCTCGCAACGAAGAGACGAGAGAGTATATGTCGCGCGGATTTCTTTCTTTTTTTTAGGAGTAAAATTAACCATACGAGAAACGCGATGATGCTGCCGCTGACGTAACATGTACGACGAAAAAGGACCACTCGTTCAATTGGCCAAACGTTAAAGACCGTCGTCGCGATTCGATCTTACGTAAGCTCGTTGACGCGGTCCGGTGGTGCTCCGATCCGGATCGCCGGATCGGAGCACATATCGTCGCAAGTTAATTTCTGGAATCCCGTCACAAGTCCTAGCACGTGTCCCCCGTGGTTCCAGGTCTACGAGGATTCTGTGCTCGGTCAGCGATTAAGGTTATCGCCTTAACGGGAAACACACCAGCAGGAAACGCGCCGTCGCTCCGCGCGTATCTCCGTTACACCCGGTAGATAAGCTGATCCGCCGATAAATGCCTGCCGAATCGTCGTCGTTTGCGACGCGAGCGGAGAGCGAGATATCGCGGTTAATTATTTACCATTCCATTTTTTATTTTTCGCGCGATTAGGACACGTCCGTATGACGTGTGCTCAGCTAGTTCAAAATGGAATCAATTCATTCCGTCTTTTACGATAATATCGACAACGCACTGGCAAATAATAACGAATGTAATTTTTTTTTTTTGATATTATTTAGACATTTTGTTTTGTTCAAGTTTAGCAATTATTCTCCCATCATTAATATTTAAAGATGATAAAATTTAATTGTGAATAAAATAGAACTCGATACGAGACTCATAGTTTGTTAATAATCGTATATAATTTGGGACAATAACGTGCCAATAACGTGTGGAAATATTTCTACAACTATTGTAATAAATCTTAATTTAATTGTCTCATTCTTTTATTTTATTCGCTCAATAAATATTGTTTCATTCGAAATGGGGCGCTAATATATCGTTATAAATTAACAAACTCCCAATTATAATATAATTGGCATAAAATTAATTGTGATAGAAGATAATATTTTTATCGATTCGAGCAAGCGAAGTAGTAGTTCTGGCAGAAGAGAAACTTCTGGACTATACACCTTCGGACTACGCGATTGCCCGATTCGACGGGAAGCCAAGCGAATCTTGGACCATGGCGAGAGCCGGATCGATGAACGAACCGAAATTCCTGATTTTACGACAGCAGCCCGTCGTAACCCCTCGCGCGTCACACAGCAGAGTTACCGCGATATCACTTGGGGCGTTAGCCGGATAAGCCGCTAACCCCATCCACCTGTTGCCCCTTCTTACACGTTCTCGCGTTTCGATCTCGCTTCGTTCGTCTTCATTCCTCGCGCGGCGACGAGAGTGGTGAGGGGGCCCCCCTCTCTCTCCCTCCCTCGCTTGTTCGTCCTCTTTCGATCCACGTGTAGACCCTCGGGGCCCGCTCGACTCCCTTCCGTCAGCGTGATGCCGACTCTTTCTCGCTCTCTTTCTCGCTCATCTCTCGGCACCTTCAGGCATCTCGCTTCTCCGCCACTCTTCCCCCTTTCCCCCTCCTTTCTTCCTCTTCTTCATCATCTTCTCGCTTACTCCCGTTCCAGGCCCGGGTCTTCAGCGGTCTGACGTGTTTTTTGCGAGTGCATACCTCGAAGCAGCTCCCGAAACAGTAGCTGGTACCCCGGTACAGTCCGGGCAAGTGAAAAAATCGCCGGTCGATCCTTTGCAGTCGATCGTTAGATTACGCTGAAACGATGTATGGAGAGATATATCTCAATGGAAAACTCAGAGAAATAAGATATTTCGTTTTTTTCTCGGCTTGGATTCAATGACTGCATATATATTTTTATTTTAAAATTTTCTGCAAGTGGAAACGTGTACAAGCAATCTGTCTGTTTCGTTGAAATACAATCAAGAGAAATTATAATTGAAATATATCTTGAAAACATTAATTTGCATAAATATAAAATGACGAAGAAACTCTGTAATACATGTATCTGCGATCTGTTTGGTTAAGACTATTATCTTGAAAAAAATGAGTAATTCACATGTTGTTGTCAATTATTCGAGATCGCGTATATAATACGCGCGAGTATATAACAGCTGATTAAATTCTATAATTTCGTAATTAAATGACCGAGATTAAATAGCCGCGAAAATCGCTGATTGCGAGCAAACACGAAACGCGGCCGGAAATCGTGAGGGATCACGGAGGGTTAAACGCCGGCTCGTATCTCCCGGCTCGTTCTGCCGTTTAGGCTCGTATTCCACGGAGGCGTCATCATCGACGAGATCCAGTTTTACAGACAACGAAAATCATCGCGTCGCGCGCGGTGCATTTCGCACATCGGCGACGGCAGCGGCGGTGACGACTGATAGTGTAGGATTGTCGCATTCTGGGTCCAGTTGACCCCAGTTGACACCGTGGACGGCTTAGCCGTTAGTGTTAAGTTCAGTTCACTCATACATAAATCTAAGTCCGCGCGCTTATGCCTTAGCCTGGCTTTTTGCCGGCGCGGAATTGAGCACGTGCTCAGATTTCATCGGCGACGACGCTTAGATCATCCGGCTCGCTGCGCTCTACAAGTGCGAGCCGAAACGTCGCAGATTCGACCGCGTTTAGGCGACGCGACACTCCCATCCGTGAATTGCCGCCGAAGGCTTTTTTAATCGCCGCATTGCCTCCAATCGCGCATAGTTAATTCGTACACGAGCTGATTTTGAGAAATAAATTACTGCGCAACGATGACCGTTTATCACGAATACATTTCGTTAGAAATATCAAGGCTGCTTATTGTGCAGTTTCCGTAAAAATGTTATCGTTTTTAAAAATTTCGTGGCATATTTCCCCTTGTAGAAATTTTTATGATAATCGTATAAAAAAAAATTGTGCGGCTATTAGAAGTATCGCGTGCTTTCGTATGTGCGTATGTGCGTGTGCGTGTGTGTGTGTGTGTGTGTGTGTGTGTACCAGGGAATTTTGTCTTCAGAGATTAAGAGCAGCGAAGGATTTATATTACCCCGCGGAGATTACTACGTTCTCGTCGAGATTATACACAAACGGGTGATGAAGTAGAGCACGTGCTCAAAATAATTTACATAACATGCGTAGAAAATATTGTTCTGCAACTTTCCTAAAGACAATGCAAAAAAGCCAGAGGAGAGAACTTGTTGCCCATGTAATAAGCGTAAAAATGAGCAAATCATGCTTTCCGATATTAAATTTTTACGCGTCATCTCTCCTCGCAGTATATAAAAAGATTTTCTTATCTACATTCTTATATACACCGTAAAGCTTATCGAATTACTATATTACATTCTCATCTTCTTTTAATAATCGAAATGGATGGGATCAATTCTCTCTATTTTCTTCTTCTTTGTGCGCGATAACGTTAGGATAAACATACGACGCTTTAGTAATGGACACGACAATGACCGATATCATTCCGAATGGTCGCAATAAAATCATACTTATTATCCAAAATGAAAGTGTTAATTGATGTTTTTTCGCGGTTACAGAGTCAAGCGTTGGCGTTGACACACAAAGCCTCCCCGCCATCGAGACCGAGCAGCGTGTCCTCGTTACCGAGGAGCCCTCAGTCTCACCAGTCCCAGCAGTCTCAGCCGCAGAACACACCTCAACCCCCATCGGTGCATCCACTGCAATCGCAGACACCCCTCAGTGCACCTCAGACACCGTTTTCTGCGCACAACCAGCACCCGAAACAAGAAATTAGCGCCAGTCCCAAACAGGAGGGTTTCGATCTCAGCAAATCCGCCTCTAGCACAGGTAAGTTTCTCTCTTTCTCTTCGTCTTTATCATTTGCATAATTAAATACTAATTAATCTATCACTTATTCAATTATCGATATTTTATTCTGACAAAATTTGAGGATTTTCCAAAATCTATATTCAAAATTTATTGTTTTATAATTAATTTTCAAGATTATTTTGTAATATATTACGTATATATAATTTATATAATAAAATATAAAAAAAGATTTGTAAAATAATACAAAGAAAAAAATTACTATCCTACTAAATTTAACGGAGTCTCCTTTTTGAACTTCGTACAATGTAATGTTAGCTTTCCTCACCGTCCAGTCCCTAGCCTCGAGTGCATCTGTGTATACTACATTACCTCGAGCTGCATCCCGGGTTTGACGGCTTGCCCGGGGTTCCCGCGGCCGTAAATCGTCAATTCGCCGGACGAATTAAGTTACCTTTTACGAGAGATGGGGGTCGTGTGAAAACAGCTTTAACGTCTTTACAGCGCGGTCGGGATTTGCTCGGGGTGACGGTGGCAGGGAAAATGCGGTAACGATGCACCGATGTCACGTCCATTAATGCACTCTGCCGAACGGAAGCGACATTAATCGCCGTCACTATCTCGCGTTTGGCGAAAGTCGATATAGTTTCTGCGTAATAAATAAGAGAACGATATATTTGAAATTTATTCAGTAATTTTGCATTCGTAATCTCACAAAAAGAATTTTTTTCGCCCTATATATTTAATCAATTAATATCCTTTTTATTAAAAAATAGAGAGTGTTGCATATACAATTTTTGTATTTTTGTTGTTAATGTGTTATAAATAGGGTAATAGTATTGTGTAATATTGGAATGATAATTATACATAGTGTTAGAATGTTTTTTATTATTATTTTGCTATCTCTCTACCGTAAAAAAATTTTTAAAAAGAGATATAAAATGAATAATACGGGGAGCCTGTTGTTCAAAATATTATCTTATTTCATTCGCGACAATCTAGAAACTTAGTTGTCATGTCGCGCTGTAAAGTCCACTTCCACCGAGAATGACGAAGACGTATGTACTCGATGGAGGTCGCGCGAGAGGGGTCGTTAAAGCTCGTAAACGAGATAGACTATCGGCGGAATTTCCTTGATCCTCGATAATGCGGTGGAAACAATTTGCACGCGTTCGTTTATAGTGAGAATTAAACGCCACATAAGCGGAAATGCGACGTTTAGCTCTCATGTAAAATTCGTAAAAAAATAACGGCCATGAGAGAATTAAACGTCCATATATGGCGAACTTATATATCACGAAACGTTTATTGATAAATAAAACATCCGATAACAATTTATTAATTATATTTCTTCAAATGTAAACCAGGATTGAATCTTTTTTGTTCGAAAATTATCTCAATATATAGGAAAATATATATTTGCTATTTTGTAATTGTATTTAGCGATCGATAATATAATGTAACGATATGTTATGTTTTTGGAAAATATTTGTTAAGATCCTAAACTTATTTTAAATATGTTGGATATTGGATAGTATAAATAATATTTTTTTTACGCGTGTGTATTTCCCATAAGAAAAGGACCAAGTTTTTACAAAGCGAAAAGAGCCAGTCTTCCATACGTGTAAAATTATAATTGAAGGGACGATTATAATTGAATTCGCGTTTAATCTACCATTTATATTATCGTAAGACGCCGTTAAATACACACACTACTTTTTCTCTATCTTTTCTATCTATTACAATGTCTTCTTTACGATGTTGCTGCGAAAAGAAAAACATGGGAAGATTACATCGAGTTAAATTGCTAAACTACGTGTCCCCCATGATTCTTTTCTCAGACTAACTTTGAGAGAGAAATCGGTTTTAAGAATTCTTAAGAGAAGGTTCACTGTGTTGATCGTGACGATACGAGGGCATGCAGGAATTGCTTTTCCAGTCCCGACCTACGCGAGGAGAAAAGGGTGGCGCGACGCGATGGGGGATGCGGGTGGACAGAAGCACGCACTTCCTAAATCTACGGATTTCGAGGATCCCCCTTAAATCTCCGTGCGTCATAGTTAATCCTTCCCCTCTCTGTGCACGTGGATCCTTTTCCTGCCTTCTCCAGTTCTTATCTCCTCGCCTTCCTCCGTCGACCACGTTTTTTTTTTTTTAAATCCTACGAAAAGCGCGATCCACTTATTCCTAACTTGAACGATAATGCGGGGAATAAAATTTATAGCACAGAAAGAAAACATCGTTATACGCGAATAAAATATTAAAAATCGTTATTATAATATTTTTATTATTTGTCGCGTATAGAATAACGCTAAACTTCGAAACATACATGATTCATGGATTACAATACAATTACAATCTTTGATAATAATTTAATTTCGAATCTTAACTTTGCCAAGCAGAATGACTATAAACAACAAGCTGGAAAAAAAGCAAACCAATGCATTCGAAGATGAGTTTGTATCGTCTTTTGTTAAAAAATGATTTTGCGTCGAGACGTATTAAAGGTGAGTTGGAAAGAGAGATGAGATCGTTTGTCCCCTTTTAGTCCGCGAGCCGTAAGCGTCAGCTCGGAATTAGGATAATCGTCCACGTGTGTTCTGTCCGGATTTACCTGGACGTCTATATACGCGTATCCGTGTGCGCGGATGGTGGGTCGGAGACGGGGACGAGGCGCAGCTTCCCAGGAGGAGGAGGGCAAAGGGGGAAAAGGGAAGGCGTAGAGGGGAGAGAGAGAGAGAGAGAGAGAGGATATTGTGACCCTTACGAACTAATCCGGATTAAATTCGAATCCCTGGCTATGCGGCTAGGCGACCTGCGAACGTCTACCGTGGCGTCTTGCGCCATACGATCGGACTCGTTACGCCGTTTAACCCTATACGCGATGCTCCCTCCCGGGAGAGATAGCGCCTTTTGTGGCGGGCTGCCTTTGAATTCCCACCATTTTCGCTCCCGCGTCGATCGACAGAATGAGAAAGTACCCGTGTAACATAAAAGAGAGTTTTGATTTAGTAATCTCCAGGCTTGCGCGCAATACAAAAAAGAAACACTCGGTCGGGCAATATATATTCATAATTCGCAGATAAGAAGAAGTCGCAATAACTCTGTTAACTAAAAAAATATTTGATATTTGTATAAAATGTAGAGATTTATAATTATTGTACCTCCAAATGTGGCTCTGAAGATTGGAAATATCTCACATTTTTGTGATTTAAATTAATTTTAATTTTTGAAGTTTTTTTTCTGCTATTTAGAAATAATAGCTTTATATTATGAAATATAAATGTTATAATAGTAAGTGCAATAGCATTTAGCAAAATTACGTATTCTTTCATAAAGTGAAGAATTTATAAATTGCGGAAAATTATTTCCAATATGAAAGAAGAGAAAGAAACATTATCATATAGTATTATAAAAATTTAATAAAACGCTGTGCAAAATTAAATATTTAACATTTAAGAAGAATGTAAAAATAAGAAAATAAGAAAAAACCCAAGAAAATTTATTTTATGTTTGAAATTAAAAATTTATTTATTGTTTAATGGAAACGTTCATGAATTAAAAATTTATTTATCGTTTATCCGAAATAAAATATAATAATATAATACATACGAAAATCGGCAAAACTTTATTATCTTCTCTCATGTCTCTCCCGATTCGAGAAGTGATTCTCTCACAGGACGCCCTGTATATGTTCTAGCTTTCAACCTGACCACACGTTAAGCTAAAGGCAAAATCGATATCATAACTCGCGGAGAGCAATCGTGGGCCATATTGCGGATGGATATTTCTCACATGTATATACAAGCGTGCGTGTGCCTATTCCTAATATTCTTACATTTTATCTTAAACTTTATTGAGCGAATTCTCGCGTAATATTAAAAAATTTTGTTCTCCAATAAAGATCATTAACGAAGTAACCGTTAAGTTATTGATATTTCTTGCAACATATGAGAACACGTTTGTATTTAAATCAAAAGATATAACTTCTTCCATGAAGCAATTATAAAAACAATTTATAATTTTATAAATTTTTATATCTATTTTTTTCTCTTTCTCTTTTTCTTATTTAATAGTTTTTGTTTTCCGATCAATTCGGAATCGATTTTTTTGGATGCTGCCTTAAAGAAGAGCTGGAAAGAAAATCACGACAAATCCTATTTCGAGATAGGCACTTACAAATACATACACGAATATATCAGCATCGGTTAAATTTTAATATCTTATAATTTATATTAAATGTAAAGGAAATTTAGTTAATTATTTGCTGTGATATAGCATTGATAATGAGAAGATCGTATTATAATTTTGCATGTAACAAAACTGAAAGACTCACTTAAATCTTTCGAATGTTGCGTATTATCCGTGATATCATTAGCGTCATCGACAATGGTTATCATGTATATGTATAACATTTAGTCCAATGATTTTTAATCTCACAGTTTTGATTTTGAAAAAAAATATATCTGAAATCATCTTTATGCACTACTTTACGCACTTCATTGCGAATGCATATTGAAAATACATTCGCGGTAGAGTGCGTAAAATGCATGTTGTCTTAAATAATACAGCGCTGGAAAAATATGGAAAATATCGATCGACGCAGTCTTATGAAATGATAAATTTCGATAAAGTTACATCCTTGAATCACCTCTGTTCTACCCAAGTTTATCTTGCTGATAAGTTACCGCGTGCGCAAAGAGAGATGATTTTATTATCGCTTCCATAAAATACCGAGTTGGACAAAGATAAAAAAATAATAATAATAATAATAATTCCGAGCAAACCCCAGATCGATACGTCACTGAAAATCGGCGCTTTAATCGGATAGGCAAAAAATTACATAGGCCAACGGATGCATACTTTCGGATACACCCTGTAGACAACGTGCTCCGCACCGTCGATGGAGCACACACAGGATACGTCGAGTGAGAGAAGCGAGGTGAGGGCGACGAGGTGGTGGCGAGAGGGCGAAAAGGGGAAGAAGCGGGGAAGGGAAGGGGAGATGGGGGGGAGGGTTA